GCGTTGAAATCTCCCATTATAATGATATTTTTATGCGCAGCATCTAGGGCTGTGTCTATAGATCTATAAAATTCTTCAATTTCACCTTCACTTGCTTCTTTCGTTGGTGCATATACTTGGATGATAGAGATTAGGTAGCCTTGGATGTTCATGTTTAATGATGCAACTCGTTCCGACAGACCGATAAAGCTCTCTATATTATTTTTGTGTATTTTATTTATTATAAAGCCAACTCCGTAGAGGCCAGGAGTGTAACCGACGTGACAAAATATAAAGTTTTCGTGCTCTTCTATCTTGGTACCTTGCCGTCTCGTTTCACATAATCCTATAACGTCGTATTTTATACTGTGTATTGCCTCTTCCAGTTCTGATAACCGTTCATATGTGTATAGGGTTTTGACATTGTAGGTTGCTACGTACATTAGTTGATTTTCTTGTTTGTTTCGTTTGTTTGTTGTTTTTGGAGGGTTTTGGTCGTAATCTTCCACGGTGACCAGCCGGCTTGGAAGATTTGGTGCGTTTCTTGAATCCGTTTGTGTGCCTGTTCGTTGTGTATGTGAAGATGAGGAGGAGGAGGCGCCTAGTTGCTATATTTGCTTGTTGTCGTTATTTTTTTTGCTTGTTGAATTTTTGACCACGTAGTTCAGTATTCCTTGTTTTATTATCCCTTCTGAAAAGCTGCTAGATCTCTTGACAGACTGATCGCCTTGCTGTATTTTGTTCTTTTTGTTTATTTGTATTTTTTCAGTGTTGGTTGGCATGGCGTTTTCAGGTGAAATGGGTAATTTTCGTTTAGGGTTGACTTTTGATATTATTAGTTTGTCGTATGAAATTTTAGCCATGTTGCCTTTTTCTCTCTCTAGTTGTAATTGTGCCTGGAGTTTCTTTCTCTTCTCCAGTACCTGCTTTGGGTAATCTTCTTTAAAGTAGTAGGTGGTATCTATTAGTGCTCTTTTTTGTTTCAGGATTTTTATTTTTGTGCCTAGAGTTAGGAAGGTCACTACCAGAGGGCGTGGCTTTTCCCCTTTTTTTCCAATTCTTTTTATTTCTTGAATATCGCAATTGTTTATTTTTACAGAAAGATATTGTTCTACCCAGGTAATGAAGTTTCTCTCCAAATTTTCGTATGATTTTTCACTCTCTTCTAAGCCAAAAAATACTAGATTATTTTTTCTTGCCTGTCTCTCTAGATTTTGTAATCCTTTTTCTTGGATTTCCATTTTCTCTTTCACGTCTTCTAGATTTTTATTTATTGCTGAAAATTTTTCTTCAAACATCATGCTAATATTTTTCGTGACTTGTTCTGTAACAGTCTTTCCTGTTTCCCGGATTTCTTGTCTTTGATTGTCCAAATCATTTTGAATTGTTTTTAAAGCAGTTAATATTTCTTCCATGTTTTTTGTTTTGTAGTTGTAATATTTATAGTACACTTGTCGCCCTCTATTAGATTTTGTCTGAAGTTTCTATGTATCACGTTTGTAAGTCTTGTACTACTGTAGTTAGCGCAGGAGTTCTTCTAATGTTGATTAGTTAGTAGTTTAACTGCTCGACGCTAGATGGCGTTGTTACCGAGTTCTTGAAGACCGTGACTTTTATTTTTTGTTGTAATTAAAGTGAGGTTATAATTTATCAGAATGTTCTTTTTAACACTGGTTTTTTGCACTTCTTGATATCTTGAATTTTAAAAGACTAACCTTCTTCCGTCTTATCGGTTTTCCTCTTGAATTCTTCGTATTCGGTCTTTTTGCGATGAAAGTAGTTGTTGGTGGTTTTCTTGATATTAACTTCGCAGATAGTGAGTTTTCGCGATTAATAACATTTATCCAGTGGATGCGGTGTCAGCTTGCCACTTTAGATAGATTTTCACGACTTTATATGTACTTTTGTTATTTTTAAATACAAAAAATGCTACAGGGACTATGTAAACACAGACACAACAGCGCCCTCCGTCCAGCCCTTACTTAATCAAAAAACAGACACTATTTGAATGTTGCAGATATGGTTTACTTATTTATTTCCTTTTTTTGCAGAAATACTTGCCAGAAGCACCAATTGAGAATGAAGTGGCTGAGGGTGAAAAATCAGAAGACAAGCCAGAAGACTCGAAAACAGCGCCATTACTACAATTTTCTCATGTTGAATGCGCATTATTTGCCCTGCATTCATTATGCCGTAAGGCTCCGGAAGCTCTAACTACAGATGCTGCGAAAATTAAGGCATTGCGTCTACGCCTGCAATACACCGCGCGACTTACTCAAGGATACATAAAAAAATTGAAGGAAGTTACACAGGTATGTTTTGACAATTCCTAACCCAAAGCGACTTCTATTGTAATAATTGCTTCAGAACTGGGGAAGACTTCTAAGGGGAAGACAATTATTAATTCCATCTTCTTTGAACAATCTACTTTAATAAGTAGATTGTAGTAGGTTGCCTAAATCATAATTGATTTAGGCCTTTAAATTGCTTAACAGCTCTTAACCAAATATTTTATTTTTCAGGGCCAAAAAGGTGAAGATGCCAACTCGGAAGAAAACAAGCTGAAAATAGCTGCGTTAAAGACTACTTCAAACATCAACACACTCATAAGAGATCTATTCCGTACTCCACCAAGCTTCAAGAGCAAAGTTCAATTGTCATTCCATACCAAGAAAGTTGATAAAGAGGTACTTACATAATTATATTTATTTACATAATATTTAAATTGTGTTGCAGTGTTGTATAAATAATTTGTAATTGATTTTAATTAACAATGTGTTCATTTTTTTAGGAGAAGCAATCTGCTGACCCAGAGACTACAAAACAATCGCCAGGACAAAAACGACACCGTCCGATTACCTTTGATAATGACAATGAAAAAGAATCGCCCGAGAAGAGATCGCGTAGTGGAGACAGGAATGTCAAAATGTACACCCCACCTTCTGGAAAATACAGCTCAAGGCTGAACAATAACGGAAGATTCTCTGGGAATAATTCTGGCGGAAGGGGAGGCCGAGGGGGTTATGGTAGACGCGACTTCAGGAACAATGGAGCACCTTTCCGAAGGCGAAACAACTATTAAATTTCGCAATTTCGGAAGAATGCATACATAATGACAATGATTTGAAGAAGTTAAATTGATATAGTCACTCATAGTCCTTGCTCCATTCTAGTATAAACCTTGAGAATCAAAATGTCCAAATTGTTGCAATAGGGGAACCAAAACCAACAGTGTTCTCTTGCAACATGCTTGAACAGGGATTTGTATATATGGGGTAGCAGTGGAGTTATTCTATGCAGATATTTTGTTGTGATTGTTTAGGTTGAGTTCCACCGATTTTATTCCATTACATGTCCAAATTGTGGGAAGCACGTTTTCATAGTTTGATACCTACAAATTTTCTTTTTGTTGACATCATTATTAGTTTACCTGTGTGGATGGAAGACGTTCGTTCGATTAGATATTGAAAGGTTTTGTTTTATTTTTCAAAAGGAGCAGCCAATATTTTTATTTTTAATCTAGCGGCAATGGCGGATAGTATTTGGGTTTCAGTAGTCGCCTCAATATTTTCCTGTAATTGAGCAGCATTGTAAGTAATAACTTGTAATTGTAATAATAATTAATTTAGCAGTCGTGTCTTATAACAGCAACTGATTAGTATTAGATGAATCATCACTTGACTTGGTAAGTATTAGAATTAATCTAGAGATAATTTTCATTGACGAGATTCCGGAGACTACACCAAGATAATTTAATGCTGACGTCGTGTTGGGCGCCGTAATTCTGTAAGTATTTACTATTTATTAAGATTTTTGTCTTATAGCCGGGAGGGTGCAGAAGTAGAAGCAAGTTTCCACCACATACTTCGATTTTACTCCAGATTTTTGTTGCAACTTATTTATGAGGAATAAGAAGATTTTATGAAGGTTTTGATGATTGCAGAATACTTATGGAATTTTCTACGAGAATAAAACATTTAATACAATTACTATTTTATTTACACAACCCGAAGCCCTCACCTAATTAATTCACTTATAAATAACACTAATCATGTAAGACCTATCAAAAGTTAAAACAATAAAATTACATCTACAGAGTACAGACGCAAGTAATTATTTTTGCTCCTCATCTCAAAACGAACAGCTATAGTCCAAAAATATGTACCTACTGTAAAATCGGGTGAATAGGGTATGAGCGGCGAAAAGGGACAAAAGAGGGGTGAATCGATACTATGATGAATTTCCTTATATTCATTCACCCCTCTTCTGTCCCTATTCACCCCCATTCAACTGTATTCGGTTAAAGTAGATACTGGATTTATTTGTAACCTGAGTTCAAATGTATCAAACCTACATAACACCCACTGCGAACCATGCAGCCATAGCAGCATGAATAATTATAGAGCATCATGAATAATTATAGGTACCATCAAATCTTGTTACCTAAACCTGACGGCAAGTTATTAGTTTATTACTCTCATGAATGTGTAAACAAATACAATTTCACAGCGCATCCTAACCCGGTACAACTATTGTCGGAACATACTGGGAATTGAGTCCGCACCTCAGCCGGCCTCGATTTTTTTTGATCTTGCCTACATATCTTGAGTTGTTTGTAATTGTTATATATATATGGATATAGTCAACATGTACCAGTACGTTTATCTATCCATGAAACAGAATTATGCAGAGGCATAGAATGAGCTTTCTGGTAGCCGAATAGATTTCTTTATTTATGACAACTGTGACCAAACTAAGACATAATTTATTTTTTCATGAAAAATCATCCAATGACTTCTCCCGCCCAGGTGAGGCGAAAGGGAGCGTCAGTCTGACGCTCGCTTACTGACTAAAAACCACCCCATTCCTACTCCTGCACTTCGAGCCAGAACCCCGGCAACCTGTTAAGTCTTCTGCGGCTAAACTAGGAAATACCTACGAAATTGAAACCTTTTAACCCAAATACTAATCATTGTATAGGAAGAGATATGACGATAAACTGATAAAATTAAACAACAAAATGTTACTTACTTATTGCTTTTTTATTAATACAACAATATGCTAAAACTTACAGGCTAATAATTAATACCATAATATAAAAAAGTAAGAAAGAAAAGTCAATTGTCTTATCTCATGTTGTCAACAACATTACACATGATACGATCCAGTTCGTAACAAGGATCCTGATTTGAGACATCATTTGTACTGCAGTCCATTTGTTCCAGAATTTCTACAGGCACCTTAAAGTTTGCTTCAATTTCATTCTGATCTGGTAAACTTTGCAATGCATTCTGCAATATGTCTTGTACTTTGTCCAAGTGTTTCTTAAACCTGAAGTTAAATTACATCAAAATTTAATAATTGTATAAAAATGAAACCCGTTTCCCATTGTCATGGCATAAATGAGAATAAAAAAATCAGCCAAATCAGTCTAGCCGACTGATTTGGCTGATTTTTTTTTTGTTATGTTTATCGTCAGGAGAAGGTTCTTATGACAGAAAAAGGTCCTGAAAATCCTATGGGAACGGGTCAAAACGGGATTGAGTGTACCAAGTTGCGGGCAGAAGCTAGTATTTAACCCTTTAACCGCCGACAACGTAATATTACGGTTTTCGAAAGCTGTGTCCGAATCGCCACATACGTACAATCACGTTATTTTATTAAAAATCTTCTTATAGTGCACAAACTCCATATAAAATGTGTCAATTTCAAGATGTAGGGTATAATCTTTATTGTTATGGATATTTCTCAATGTTTTGAGTGATAAATACTGTGAAATTTGAGGTTTAATTAAATTGTGGTCACCGTCTCCATTATCTGTATCGCCAATCACGTAATTTTACGAGTACTAGGGATGGGGCGAATTCGAAAAATACTTAATAGGTTGTCTAAGAACAAACAAGGCACTATAGATATTACTGTCACTATTTGCAATGAAAGTGTATACTTTCATTAGAAAATAACCATAGTGTTACTTTGATGCAAGTATTTGTACTAATTAAAATGTATTTAAGTTTAAAATTATTTAATATTTATAACAATAATATAAAAATTTCATAACGCAGAACCGCACTAGTGCGGACAATCGCCGGTCGCCATCATCGTAATATTACGTGCGGCCAAGGAGATTATAGCGCTGTATTGTGAGTTGCCTTAGCGCCGTCACCGTAAAATCACGTTAAACATTTATCACTCAATGCAACTAGTGTTGTAAGCCCTTTTTTGGGTTTTTGTTATTTCTCAAATAAATCAACACAGTCAAAACCAAATGTGTCCATTATGCAAAGTTAGAAGATGGTGACGCAAAAGTTTTTGATCAGAGACCAAGTGATCCACGAAATGAATACTTTGCATCTTTAAAACCTTTTGAGCTGGAAACCGTACTGTCGGAAATCCGCTCAGAAGTTTACATGAAATTATTAAATTTAATACAACATGCTCGTGGAGCATCGTCACCGTCGCCAGCAGGAGAACGGACGACGCCGTGGCCATTTCCCGAATACTCATTTTCGTACACTTCGTTTGAAGATTGAAAATTTTTAGCTTATTTATTAAGTAGGTAAATAAAACATTGATTTTAATTAATAAAGAATATATGCATCGATATTAAGTGTTCCCAACACTGTTCCAACTTATACCTAAAGTGACGTGGCGCTGGAGGTAAGTTGAAAGTTCAGAAGCTTGGCGGTTAAAGGGTTAATAACTTATATTGAAAATAGAAGAAAGTTGGGTTAATGAGTGACATTATAACAATATCTAATCTCTGCTATTTTTAATGGTTAAGCTAACTTTTTCCAAAGACATTATAGCATTAACAAATTTAATATCAATTTACAACAGTACATAAGAAACAGTGGCCACAGTTAACTTAGCCCATTACTCATGAATGAATGTAACAAGAATACATTATACCTTGTGGCGGTTTCAACTCGTTGACGTTTCTGTAATTCCATCATCACTCTCAATGTTTCACGAGCCTGGTGTGGTCTAAACTCATTTAGCAAGTGATGAATGTGGATAAACAATAAACTCAGATCTTCAACCTTTTCAGCTCTTTTGGGAGAATCAGGACAATGAACCAACAAATCTAATAAATCTAGAAAATTAACAAGTAAAGAATGGTTTAACTTCTTTAGTTCTCTTCTTCTTTCAAAGTGCATAGGATATAATCGTCGAAATCCCTGAAATCATAAAGTACCAAAAATTTGTTCATAATGCTTTTAAGTTGCTGATGATAATAATTCATAATGATAAATGCATGCAAATTGTTACCTGGCTTTCCAATGACCTGATTATGGTGTCGTCCGCATTAAAAGTGTGTCCAAACATTGAATATGAATCGTGAATAGGCCGAGGTGGCAGTGGTGCTCTATTTCTTCGAACATTCTCATCTGTATAAAAGTTTATATATTGCATAGGAGGCAATGGTAAGGAACTAACTTGTGCTGTCTCGGACGACATGTTGCACTTTGATATTACACAAGACGAATGAGATAAGACGAATTATAATATCTCGTAATTTCAAGATGTGCTTATATATGTACGTGTCAATCCGTGAAAACAAATATTTAACAAAAACTCGAGAGAAAAAACCACGATCCGCGAATAAACGAACGAACGTCAATTTTTTGACAAATTGAAATGAGTTGATTGAGTTTGACAAAGCCAAAACAACCCACCAAAGCCTAAACCAATGATTTTTACAACAAACAAAACTTATCACTGAGGGAACCATAGACTATTGTCGTTACTTTTCTCGGTACCATACCCTCATGTTGCCAATAAAGAAGCAAAAAAATGGTTAATTTTTAATTGCGGCATATTTATCGGTGTTGAAATTTCGTAGAGATAGGAAAATTATTTTACATGAATAATCGCTGAAATAAACATATAAGTTCAGAACTTCCGATTTAGGTACTCGACCAACTGAATAATTGTTTAGACAAGGTTTACAAAACGACTAATTCTCCAGAAACTTGTTAACGAGTAATTATAGCAGTTTTAGCCGATTTTATTTTTGAGGGTTAAGGACTTGAGAATGATTGGGGATTCGGGAATTAGGAAATTGGAGAGAATGAGGAGAGCAGGAACTTTAACGTGCCCCGCCTCCTCCATGACTAGCATGTCATGGAGAAGGCGGGGCACGTGAGGCAACGAACTGCTGTCTCCTTACAATTCAGCCGGCGTGAAGGACATTCCGGGCGTCAGGGATGGTGAGACGGTCTCCGGCCACCGTAACCACGGGCTTACGCATGGCAAGCATGGGTAGCTCGCCGCCTGATCAGAACCAGACTCGAACGTACAGCGCGTTCGCGTTCCACGCAAGAACATTAATAGGAGGCAAACGAGCAGTCATATCACCTTAGGAGCCATCAGTACGTTGCCGGCCTTTTAAAAAGAAATACGCTCTTTTTGAAGAATAGATAAACTTAAATTTTTTAGTTTTAAATTCTAGTTTAGATTTAATTTTTTAAAGCGTTTAAATATTAAAAGTTTTTGGTGACACAAGTTAAATACTATAAACACAAAGGCGATGAAGTAAGTTATCTTTTGCCAACTCGACGATAGTTCATTGTAGTCATTTGTAGTTGCTTCTTTAACCTCAGAGATATCTAAAAGTGCTAGTATCCAGTTCTTATTTTTGTTATTGTCTATGATTTGCAAGGTGGTAACTTTAAATGTCAAAAATACATCAAATCATTCTGTCATTCATTCAGTAAATTCGTAATAAACTCAAACTCGTTCAAATTACTCATTTTGCGAGTAAGTAAAGTCAATCTTCTTGCTTCGTTTTGGAATAATATTTTTGGGCCAAAAAGTAATTTGCTGAAGTAACAACTGCCGCAATTTACGTTGCATGCTGTGTTGTGTAGTTATTAAAAGTTAGTGAGTGTAATTGAGACTAACTTTTGTTTATTATCAAGATATTTATCTATTCAGTTGAAATACTCGTCTATTTGTGATATTGTGATGGATTAGGTTGTTTGAAGGTACGTAAGGTTTTACGTGTTTTATTATTGATAATGCCGGTATTTTGACTGTTTATTATGATAATTAAAATATCATATTATGCTTCAGGCATAAAATGGCTGGAAAAGATGATGATGAAGTAATACTGCAAGCGTTTATGGTCAAGAGGTCTCAAAATAAAAAGCTATTTACACCGGTCAACTACAAGGAACGCTGGCTGGTTCTGACTCGCCGAGCACTTATTTATTATGACACGGATGGCGAGGTAAATTTGATTGATCTACTTTGATTATTGAACTAACGCTCTCATATACCTAATAAACTTATAATTGGTTTTACTACCATTTAATACTCTAAGTTTTCACAAATTACTTATAAATTTATGTCACTATGTGAACAAAATTCATTAAAACTGCCAATTTTGTCATTATCTAAATATAAATTGTACACAATTTAACTCCTTAAAAAATATCATTTTCCTTATTTATATTTTACCTAAAACAAAATAAAACTGTTCCCCTAGTTTGTAAAATCGCTGTTCCTAAATGAATCACAATTTAATCTGTTTCTATTATTTTTATGCTGCTAAGGAGTTTTTAAAACATTAAGGTAAGTGTAGGTGCTGTTTGAATTATAAACTGATAGATGATATATTTATTATCTTTGTAAACTACCTATATTATAATTATTCAGTATATGAATTTTTGGCATAATACATATAATAACCTCCAACTAGTCTGTTAGTCCAATCTGAAATATTCAAAATATATTTATAATCCCAATTACATTTTATATTTGTGAGGTGTTAAAAATAATATCATTTTATTTTAGTCTTATCTGAGTAACTCATAATCAATAATCCAAAACAAATTAGGGTTAATAAATTTTTGTGTAAGCTTTGGGGACTATTTACAAGCATATGGTTATTTATTATTTTAATGTATAATAATTATGACTGCTGACTGCCTTATTGGCCGAGTGTGAGCAAGTGCAACTGGCAGGCAAAGGGTGTCGGGTATGAATCATGGGTCAGGTAAAGCACTACTGGGTTTTTAAAAAGGAAACTCAGTACTAACACGGAGTCTGGAAACATGCCCGGTATATGACAATAGGCTCACCCCCTATTACATGGAGCTCATAACATAAATAGTGAAAAGTGGGTGTTACATTGTACCCTTAGTGTGAGTGGCAATAAGTGCCGTAATGTGCACCTCAGCCTTCGGGTTTAAAAGGCGTGATGTTAAAAATAAATATATTTATATGAATAAACTGTAACTCCATATTGTGATCTATTACTGTCACTAGGCTGTATCTGACTGCTGAATAGTTAAAATTATTATAGATAATGAATTTCTGTTACCACAATAGGAAGAAATATTTAATATATTTTATATCTATAATATTGCAGTGTATGATAAGACCACTTATTGCACTCAAATTACTATTGCAATGTAGACTATTTGTACTATCTGTGCAATAAAGTATAAAATAAATAAATAAAAGAAATTTGTTATGCTGGCTGCATATGGTGAATGTTATTTAAGCCCATTTTTCAAGCATCAGTTAATTCTCAACTGTAAAATTGACATTTGACAGCTATTCCTCAGTTAATATTTATGTAGCGTTAGAAAAATCGGCCCTAAAGCATAATATTATCTTGTATTTTGTATCATAGTGCTTAGGATAAAGTCTAGTGACAAATGTAGGCACTGTCTTATCAATAACACCTCATTTTACCCTTTTATTATGGTACTCTAAAAATATCCAAGCTTAAATTAATTCTATTTATTACATTTAGTTTTAAGATTGTTATACTAATTAATTGCCTCAATGGACTAGATGTAATGTGATTATTTTAAATGGGTAGACTAATATATAAATTAATGAAAGTAATTTAATACAGGAATCCAAAAAGAGAAATGTAGGTATTATTTCTCTCATGTTTTGACAACATGACAAAGAACAATAGGTACTAAAAAGGAGGGTCATATAGAGGTAGAATCCTATTGAAATTTTCATTAAAATTGTTTTGTTTACTCCCAGTACAATACCTATTCTTTAAGAATAAAAATCTTTAAGATTCTGAAGAACTGAATATGAATTTATCAATAAAATTGTTATCAAAGAAGTACAAAAAAATCATTAATGAAAATGAGAACCCAAAAATAACCTTGTATTAATATGTCATTTATATGATTCTATTAATTGTGAGTAAGGGAAATACGTACGTTATTATCATGTCGGTACTTAAAATAAGGCTAAATACGGTATTGTGACTAAGCTGATGAGTATGTTGTGAATTTGCAGTTAAAAATATCCGGTTTTCGAACTATGCCCTGAACTCAGCTGAGTAATTGTTACAGCTCGTGGCTGTAGGGTAGGTAGGTAGGGTAGTTATGGGACAGTTTTTCCCCATAACTTGTTCTTATATTTATTATAGATCAACAAGAGAAGGAGAGGAGTTAGATTATGATTTATTTACAACATGACAGACATGCGGTAATTTGGGCATAAACAACCATCATCGTCATCTAGGTATGCGCTTTTGAGAACAGACTGAAAACGTAACAGACCGGTTCTTCACATTTCAATCTAACACAATAAGTACTAGGTATATTTTACTAAGCTAACAAAACCCCAGGTTAAACAATTACTTTAAAATTATGAATATAAAAATGTCCGAAAAGTTATTTAATGGTTGTTTGATTTCAAATAAAAACCACTGCAATAATCTGTAGGCGATTAGTCGATCAGCGGAAAATAAAAAAGTTGTGTTTGAGTAACTAAGATGCTCAGATTACCACTAAAGATGCTTAAATAATGTTATCCACTTATCCAGCTATATTCAGACTAAACAAAAACTTGGACAGCTTAGTGGTAGTGTAATAACAAAAGAATTCCAGTGCGCAGGTAGTCAGCCATGTGGAATAATTGAACATCAGCACCAAACGCAAGATATGATTCACAAACTAATTACGGTTCATTCAAATAAGCCTTGGATTTGTACACTTAGAACTGCTTTAGATACAGGAACAAAAAACGTGGAAAAGAATTAAATGCTATCGTTGATGTTAAGTCTTTTTATACTGACAATCATTGGGCCATTGGGCGTCTTTAGCATACAGCGTGGCAAACATAATATAAACAGGTTTACTTAAATATGCATTACGTGTAACATTCAGTTAACTTTAATCACAATATAATTATTTTTGCATCAATAAGGAACAGGGGTTTTCTAGATCTAGAGATGCATTAAACAAAATAAGTTGTTTTTTTTATGGTTGGCACTCACGCAACGTTTGCTTAGAATGCTAGCCGCTGTCGGACGATGACAGTGCAGACCCTCACCGCTCACAGTTAAACGTGAGTGGTAAGTACTAGTATTAAACGATATTTGATCTACCGTGTGCCTATTAGATCATAAGCTTAGCTTTCGAAGAACGAGAACGCTGTATAAACTTTAACCTGTTCGCTTTAAGAGAAAGGTAGTAGGATTCAATACTCACTGCACAGCGAACATCTTTATATAAAAATGCTATTGAAATGTTCTATTGAAACACGGCGCACGAAATATGCGTTTGGTCACTTTTCATGTTGACATAATTAATGTGATACGTAGAGCTATGAGCCTATGACACATTTCATTGTGCAAGGATTGCGTGGAATAGCGTTGCGTTTCAATAGTAATTTCCGACTTAATCTTCACATTGAACCCAGTTATGACAAAACTATACCTAATAGGTAATCTTTATTTGAATTAAATTAAATGCATTAAAAAATGTATCACCTAATTAGATTTAACATGCCAAGCCTTGTAATAGAGTTGAATTTATAGAAAAAGTTATTGTGATACGCATATATGGTATCTATTTTTATTTACAGCTCGATTCGTAAATAGTTTAGCGTAAAATCCCCAGATAGGTACAGCGTAATAAAGTGCTGTCGAAGTGTAATGTGACGTCAATAGCGCACCATTTGTGTCAACTCTCGTATGAATTCTTCCTAAGAAGAGCAATAAATGCATATTTAAAATAATTAAACAATTTGCATCGTTATTTTATTGCATCTAGCTGTACATAAATTCCAGGCATGAAAATTACATAAGTAATTGAAACAGTAAATAATTAACTATGAATCTCGAGAGTTTCAAGTCGGACGATAGTTGATATGAGAGTTTAGCAAACTTCTTTTCCTAAAAGTTAGCTTAGTACCCAATTTAAAAAATTAGGGTGACGTAATTGGACTAACAGATTTTTTAATTTCATTTTGACTAGCTCGTCCCGCCTTTCCCAACCTGGTCGAGTGCAGCGTTGCGACGCTGTATAAGGAGACCACTGCGTACTAACTTTGGCCTTCGGCTCTTCAGACATACGGCAGACGTGGTCAGTCAATCCATTTTAGTATTAAAAGTAGCAAAATCACTCAACGTTTGATAGGACCGTATACTTTTGTTGTTGTAAATATGACGATATTAGCACTTATGACAGTTATTAGTGGGTAAAAAGGGAATTCATGCGTCAATCAGTAGGTACTTGTCATAATAAACGGATGGATCATATTATTACAACTACAACGTCATTGGAATACGTCACCGTAATAGCGTCACGGTAAAACCGAAGTAACTAAGTGAAAAGTTAATGTTTTGTTGATGTAGTAATTTTCAATTAAGTACAAATTAGATTTTGATGTTCACATAATTTACCGTACGTAAATGCACCAAATTATACTTCGTCTATGTTCACAGGGGATCGCTAACTGCAGTAACAATATTAATTTCACATAGTTTATTGTTTCGATATTCAGTGTTTTGTGTTTGCCATTTTGTGAATAACTTCATTAGGGATTCACAAGATATATATTACTTCAATTTTTACTTTAATTTTTACTAACAAATAACAACAAAATTGTTTTGTGGGCTAGTTTTTCAGTGAACTGTTATTTTCTGACCCTATCGATCTTTTAGTGCTTTATAGATAGTTATTTATTAGTTATCGTAAACGCAAATGGGATAACCGAATGTACATTTACGGTTACTTACATACATGGTTCCTTTTTAAAAGCATCTCCAAAAACTTAAAAGAGATGATCACATCACATTGCATCTTGCGTTATTACAGTGGTTGCGTTGTCTCCTATCATATTTCTTTTTTAAAGTGACTAGAGATGCAAGTCGTGCGTGAAAGTCACGTCATTTGCATTACGTATTGTTTAAATTGCATGTAAAGCTACCGCATAATATGTCATATATAGAAGAGAGACATTTTTTTAAATATTAGCTTTTAAATGTATAATATCGATTGATAATAATTTATAGTTCTTATTTTGTGTATGGGTGACTTAGATAGTTACAATCTTCAAGCGTAATATCGCTTATTTCACTTGAATAAATAATGAAAAAGAAAAAATGGCGCATTGATTAACTCCTGTACGGTTTGAATTAAACTAAAAATAGCCGTAGGATTTAGTGGTTGTAGTAAAACACTAGGACGCGCAGGTAATGTTAGTTTTGTTCGACGTTTTAAATGAAAGCTGGAGGACGTAGGGGTGAATGTGTGGTGTGGGAGCGCATGCGCGAGCTGGGTGTGTCTGTCGTCCGGCGCGACGCCGGGCGGCGGCAGCGGCAGTTCCGCAACACCATCCGTCGCCGGCCCGCACCGCACCCGAACCACCGCTGGTAAAATACCAATCACTCACACCTCCATCACACCCACTTTGCCCTTACTTTCAATCACACACGCAATGTCGCCGATAGATGCGTTTTTCAACTCATAGTGTAGTTACAAATGTCTTTATTTTGGAGTTATTGAGACATCGAACCGGTGACCAAATAGGTACGTGCGCATTCCTTTTTCAGTTTCTACCTACGTAAAAACCGCTTTTTTACATACCTACACTAAATTGGCGTTTATATTCTGATTAAAAAATTGACCGTGTGATATTTTGATACTATGCCGCTTTTGGTTTGGATTTTATTATCTTCTACCGTGACCATTTCGTGTTCGTCCGCGACGTTTTAAAGGCAGATTAAATTACCGTGATCACATTCTCTAGCCAATCAATCCCCGGGACTAAACACATATCTATCATCACTACAACGCGTCTGTGTATACTTTTAATAAAACACTTATTTGTATTGATAAAGTATGTAACTATGTAGGTATGGCTAAATTAACAAGAAATAATTTCGTATGAGTTTGGTGTATTAGATGCCTTTTCTGGCTTTTGGTTAGTCGGAATCTATAGAAAAAAACATTTTCAAGCCTAATTAAAGAGCAAAAATAAATTGAAAATAGGAAAATACGAAATTGAAGAAATTGAGCATGTAATCAATCTGTTTCTTGGAGATGTGTCGATATAGAAATAATAGCAGATATCACTTTCCTCCGATATTAAACAAGTAATGGACAAACCGTAAATAATTTTCGAAGAACAAGTCAAAGCATCAGCAATGTAAAGTATAATCAACCACCAAACTAAAGAAAGTGAAAAACATCTGACATTGCTTGATGTATTAAACTCCGTACGGGAACAGAGAACGCTTGAAAAGTGCAGTAAAATAAACAAAAAGTGTGTCGTAGTCGGCCCTCCCGCGCTTAAATAGACTTGGCAATCATTCCCCACACCGTGCTCCGTCAACCCCTCGCACTTCGCCGTAATGTATGTACCGTCATGCCGCGTGTGGTCCCTCGTTATGTGAGCAATTTTAATGGAGAGCCCTCTATGACGCCCGCTAATTGTTTGAAAAAGGTTCACTCTGCCGCGTCTCAGCTTTAAGCTTTGTTGTTTCAGTTCACTCCAAAGATTCTTAGTGCTTTCAGTCTCATTTTTCCATATTTGTTTGAGAACAAGTTCTATGCAAACTAATAACAGAAGATTTTCATACATTATTGTCAGTTATGTTAAATGTTGCAACGATGGGATCAATATTTTATACAACTATAAGTTGTGCTGCCAAAGTTATTTCAGTAAAATCACCGTTAAGTTAGTTCTCTGAAACACAAAAAGTATCAGTAAGATTTCATTTGGATCAAATGACGATATCAGAGATAACTATATTCTTCGGATACCTGGAAACGACAGTGTATTCCCTACAGGAAATCAACTCGGTGATTTGATTCATTACGGCACCCGTTGGGCGCTTTCAGAATATTATTAGATTATGCCATCTGACGTGAGGTAAATTCGATTGAGGATCTGCATTCGTACTGATGAACTTGTTCTTCAGCATCAATTGAATAGAACAAGATATTTGATTGTGTAGCCAATCACAATTTCTATGTAGGTAAATGAGAAATAAAAATCTGGTTATGGACCAATTTTCAGTGATAAAGTAAGCAGGGACAAATAGATCAAACAGTCGCCTGTATGGTCTATTTAGATACGAGCGAATGTTTGCGAAAACTGTCGCGTAAATAAAGTTAAGTAAGTGTTCCGGGACAGGTTGTGATGTCGGTAATTGGTGTAGTGTGTTACTTAGAGAGGGCTGGTTGCTAGTCGCTTGGCATGGCGCCAGCCCAGTCATTGCTCTTATCGCGGTCTGCTACCCGACACACTAATGTGTTATAGGTACTTACGTTCTCCAACCCGCCGTCCATCATTACGTATATTGGAAGAACCCACTTTTTACAGATCACGATACTATATTTTTTTCTTGCTTAAACGATTCCTACTTAACATTCTTGTCACTTTAGTTGGATTAAAATGTCGAAATTCAGTGGGGGAAGCAGTTGAATATGGAAATTTTTACGCATCAGCGAAATTGGCGCTCGGCTCTGAAAAATGTCAGAGCTTCAGTTCCAACCCAAATTCAATTAGTGGGAACTGTAGCGTGAACTACTTCATTCTTTTGTACATGTTTAATTGAATTTAAAAAAAAATGCTTATTCATTAATCCGGGCTGCTGTTGTGACATTTTTGACAAGAGATTAAAACAGCGATGAGAAAGCGTTTAAGAAAAACACATTTTTCCTTTTTTTCTTATGCGACAAAGGTATTACTTGGGTAGTTGAAATTTATATAGCCATAAACCATAGCTGAAACTGTAGGTAACTCTCCTTTCATTTCTGCAGTATTTCTCAGTTATCTGTTGCACCAAAGGATACCCATAAAGCGTATCTAATCTTAACTTATTCAAACATTGTGTAGTCTAGTAGCGTTCATTTCGATACCGTAAACAATCAAATATGACCTCGGTATAATGGCTAATTGACGTCAAGACGTTACCTATTGATGGGTGCTGTGGCGCTTACAAACAGCATATCTATAAGATGACCTGGTGTTGTGCGTCGTGCCTTGAAAGACGCTAGAACTTCCTTGAATCTTAAAATTATTAAAATATTCTCGAGTAGGGTGTGACGAAAGGTTCGCGATTGTTTGGTTCAATTGTGGAAAATACGTTTCAAATTGATTATACAATGTTTTATTATGTCGTGTGTGATAGAGACGGAAGGAGCGTGGGCGCATCGACACGGGTGCAATCCATACAGTGGAGCAAGCGCAGTTGGGGGAGCTAAGCAAACACATACCGGAGGGTGACGGTGAGAAGAGCCCCGTTTATAGATATCCCTTTCAGGTAATATATCACACGCCATAAGCCGTGCATATTTGACTGCGTTTTGACAACTTGATTGTTAAGTTGTAAAGTTATAATTTATAGTTTAATATAAAAAAGGTTTGTGTACTCGGTCAGGTGGGGTACTCGGAACAAAACACTGACTACACACTATACCTAGTCGCCGGTGATCATACGGAACGACTGCAGTGGATCCACACAATCAGATCGGGTACGTACCCACCCACGGTTACATAACGCCGTTTATTACGTGTGACGTAGGTAAACCCTGTTACTGACAACCTGTATTGTTTACTTTGTCACTCGCCCTGTATACATGCATTCAAATCAAGTAAACGCTCTTTGTTTTTGTAGATTTAAATTTAAAGTAAATAAAGGAAATAGTGGATGAAAAACAATGAGTCATATCAATACAACTCGCCCAACGACATAGTTTAGTATTTCCGTTATTACAAACTAAATAAATCCAACTGCATAGAGAGAGCCTTCTTAGTCATAATCATGTAAGAAAAAAGGTGTGAAAGTTTGTGAGCTAAGAAGTTTTGCATGCAACAAGACAGACAGCATTTATAGGTCAGGAGAAAGTGTAAAGGCATGGTGGGTTACAGTCTGCGCAGTGAGTGGACGCCGAAGTCGATACCACCCCGGCGCGTGGTCGGCGCGGCGCTGGAGCTGCTGTGACGCGGAGCGACGCTCCGCCCCCGGCTGCGCAGTCGCAGACCTCTGGACGCTCATAGAGTCTGACCTTGACTTGCTCACACCACCGCAAGACAACCGATTGTCGAACGACGTAACACGTGCGTATCATCAAGTTAAAAAGCTTTATGATTTTCGATCAGTATCTTTTTCATGATGTAGGTCTGTCTGGTCCTTAATATATACAATTTTATTTCAAAATAGTATCGAAATCTCTCCCTAGATCCGATTTGAATTTTATAAAAAACATATATAGACAGGTGTACGTATTGAATATTCATAAAAGATACACACGTACCAATTATCATTCGAGATAACTCTACAAAAAACAGTTGTCCATTGCAAACGCAAGGCTTCTGTTGAAGATGGTATTATATCCAAGCGAGTCAATTGCCGTTAATGACGTTTGTATAAATTTTCTGTCTCTTTTCCACGTGACGAGAGACTCATAAGTGAAAGGGAGAACGAGTACCGCCTGCGCGCGCGCATCGAATGGTGAATGTAGGCCGAGCGCGACCATCTTTGAGCCCTCGCTCCTCGTCTCGACAACTATAAAGCCTAGTTCTTCATGGAACATCGTAAATATTTTGATATGGGTTACAGTTATACCTAAATGTCAGTTGTGGACTTGTCGGTCCATATTTGTTGAACTTTTTTGTCGCCGAACCAAATGTTATAGATTTTTGTCGGAGTAATATTGAAGTTACTATAATAAGATAAGCAGATTTATATTCTTTTTCGACTTGATCTATGCACACGAAATATAAAATAAGGCTTAAACTCAATTCAGTATTTGTTTGATGCTGTTCTTTCAAAAATGTAACCAGTAAACAACAAATAAAAGTTGTCTCAATCACGTGTTACGTGCTGTATCGGACCCAGCACTGTTATGTATTGCGCTTTACCTTCGCCGCGGTACTTGGACACGTTTGTAGGCAGTCGGAGCGAGGTGTCGCGCGCGGACGTCCGGTCTCAAAGTCCCGTTCCCATGTTGCCTAATAAATCCGAAGACGAACCGATGGTGACTAAGAAGAAGTCAAAAATACCATGTCTCTCGTTGGCATCGTTCCTCCCGGCTCTAGAGGGTACGGTACAATTCGTCTGACCTCTATTTATTTGGCCTCGTCGCCTTCGGTTGCGTTCACTGGTCTCGTTGCACTCACTTTCTTGTCTTGGTCAGGTGTAATGTAATGCGTTTGTGTAATGCCCACAAAAGTGATACTGTGCAGTGTTTCTGATACCGCAGTGTTTGAGGATAGTGCTCCTTGTGCCATGGATATAGGTCGTTTCTTAGAGTATTAGCTATAAGATGTTTCTGCAATGGTTTGTTATTGTGCTCATTGAACTGTTCATATGTGAAATTGGCTATCAAGCCATCACTTTTAACGTGGTCGTACATTATAACAAAGACTAAAGGCATAATTACCAGCCAAGTACAGGATGCATTGACCTTCGTCGTTCTAACATCATGTCACTGTAGTGACTGATTATTTTTGTTCAAATTCTAAGGCTGACATTTAAGCGCCTGTTCTCATGTTGATATTTATCTAATAACAAGTTCCTCATTATTAGTATGGTAACATTTTACCCGCACTTGAAATATGTTGATGCTAATTATTTTATTTTTATGATAATTTCTGTCAAAAGTACCACCAGTTTCGTGACCTTAGCATAACGAGTGGTTTTGCGGTTCACAAACGAGATCTTTGTAAAGGAAAACGGGCTATCGATTTTGAAGGTGTTATCCGCATACTTAATTGTATTGTTTCAACTTACATTAACGACCAGCATTCAGCAATACCTTTTATCTTTATTGAGGTTTTATGACATTAAGTGTGCACAAAAAGCAGAAACATTTAAGTAATAAAATGAGTGACTTTTGCTTGATGTGTTCAAAAAAAAGAATTTATGTGACTACCAATTGATTTAATGCTATCAATATTAGCTATTATAAATGACATTAGCATAACATTAAGCAATATTTTTTAATAAGGAACACAATTTGTTTTACACGTTATTATTTTCCTAGATTGTGAAATTGGTTTTGGTTTTAGCGGTCACGGCGGCAGTCACGATGCCCGGGGGAGGCGGCGCTCCTCCAGGCACTCCCTCTGCCAAGCCAAAGGTAAATACCTACACAATTAGCCTAATTTACCAACAATATCTATTCTAACTGTAAATACTTATCCAGAAAAATGTATCTTTCAACATTTGTATCCAAATATGACTTAATTTGTGAATACAATATATCATTGTTTTTGTGTCCATAAAATATAATATATAATGTTCTTGAGAACATTCCTAATTCAAATCAGACTCAATACTAAAAGCTTTCCGTATTTAGAAAATTAAAGATGGACAAATATGCAAGTATCATTTATTTTACTTTGGATTTTATTCCTTTAAAATATGCGTACTTATTTACAGGAGAAGCAGAGAACCAAAGTCGTGGTAGCTCTGTATCCCTTCAGAGCTATTGAAAGTGGAGATCTCTCATTAGAAAAGGTAAGTTTAGCCCTTGAAATAACGTACCTAAGGGCCCCAAAACGTAACCTGATATTTTAGATACCTTCTATAAATATAATCTCAGTGTAGGAGGAGCTTAAGTGTCAAAAGCCAAGTAATTTCCAAATGAATAAATGTGTTCACTACATAGCCGTGGATGGGAGTCAAAAAGTTAATAGTCGTTATTAATCAAGAGCAAAGTACAATAAGTTTTGGGTAAAATCCGTGGGTTGTAACAAAAAACTATCGTACAACGCCAGGGCAATTATCTAAAGATCGCTTTTTTATTCGACTATTATCTATGAAAATATAGCGAATGTCTATTTTGGTGTTAGACAAAAAATGTTTGACACAACATGAGTTACGTTAGTATTTCAGTAGTTAGTATATTCTATTGAATAAATGTTTAATTTAAATGACAATAGTTGTAACCTCATCTGGACAAAAGATTTTTTCTGTTATTGACTCTGCCACTATAAATTAGATTTACAATGTGCGATTTTGTTTTTGGTGTCTGTATTTTGGAAAATATTATGATGTTTATTTATTATACCTACCCCAGAAAATTGGGGAAAATGTGTTAATAAAAAGATGAGATATATTCAAAGAATACAATACAGGACAAGATAGATGGTATTCACGAAAATTTCGAGAAACCCGATATTATATTGGTTGTACCTCCTGTAGATCCTGGCTTACAGGAGTTGCAACGGTTCTGGTTGTGGCGGGCTTGTCCCATTAAAAAAAACCTATATTAATATAATTTGCCTGATCCAAGGCTTCCACTTTGTATTGGCTTACAAATAAATGAAGTTGTTAATTTACAAAATCCAATTTTTGTTCTTATAGGGCGCCGAATATGAAGTCATAGATGACTCCCAAGATCATTGGTGGAAAGTTAAAGATGAGAATGGGTAAATTTTTTTTATTGTTATAAGTACATATTTATTTTTTCTTCCTTTTTTATTTTATCGATATTTATTTATACATTACCTCCTTTCTAGGTCGGTGGGCTACATACCGAGTAATTATGTTAAGGAAAAAGAAACAATAGGATTGCAGAAATATGAGTAAGTATTATTTATTAATTTTAAATACATTTATACAGTATTTTAAATACTTACTAATTTTGCATTTCCTCTTCCGTAAGATATCAAATTGATTTTATAATCTGTATTTTTCCAGAGTAAAAAAATTCTGTATTACCTAAAATTAATAATTTGAAAATTTTAGGGAAAAAGTAAATTAAGGAACTATATTTGTGGTGTCCATTTTAATTTTGAGTTATCATTAGAGTGTATCATCCTATTCTGCATCCAATCTGTACATAAGTAGCTATGTATAAATTGTATAGGGAAACATAATCTACATTAAATCAATTACATGATATTTTTAGAGAATCGAGATGAATCTTTCGCTCTGATTTTAATTATAACATTTGTGATGGACCACAGTTCGATACCTATGGACTATTATGATTATTATTTACGCGTTTTCCTTTAGTAATACGTATTTGCCTACCCACTATGGGATAAAGGCGTGTGTTTTTTGTGGTAATGCTTAATAATACGTGTACTATATGTTAATTCAACCTAAACCAGTAATAAAGTAGACATTCGCTCATTTTACTTAGGAACACCTCCATATAATGTCTTCTTTTATAGGTACTGAACTTTTAAGATTAAAAAAATAATATGTATATATATATATACTGAGTTTTTTTGGTCAATTGTTGGTATGTATTTTCTACTTAATGTAAGAGTTTATTTAGATATATTTTTTTATAAAGTTTAGTAGTAGATATGTCCTACTCTCTATTTTCACTGGACATTTTCAAAAATTTGAATCCTACGCTATACTCTACATGAGGTGAAAATCGAATAAAAAAACTGTCATATTTTAAGCAGTAAAATATAAAATACATATACTTAGTTATTATAATAACAAAAATTGTAATCAAGTTTAAAATGGATGTACTTGAATTGTTATCTCGTGGTTTTGTTAACGTTACAATTGTCAAGGTTTTGCTATACTTATTCGATGCGCGTATTGCTCGCCGTTAACAGAATGAGAACGACGCCAATTCGATGTAAAGTTGTAAACTATTTCAATGAACATATAAATACATTGAGTTTTGTAGTGTTAAATATGTAAATAGCGATTTATAGTCATTGAACAATTGCATATTAGCTTTTACTACAGTTTGCGTACAGACAGAATAACATTAGGCAGAATTTTATGAGCTATCTTAAGGTCTGAATGTTTTATTCTACTCTTTTTCCAATGGTATTTAATTTGTAGCTATGAAATAAATAATTGGCTGCAGTCTGATCCCTTTACCCCCGGTTACTTTCCCATTTACTATGTTAATATGCAGGGATAATGTGTCATATTTAGTATTAAAAAGACAATAAGTTTAATATTAATTTATCATGCATTCAGGAAGTCCGATGTATAGCTCCGATAATTCTCGAAGGTTAAACAAATTTATCCGGTACGGTAACGCATTATAATTCTGTGTACACAGGTGGTACGTTGGCGAGATGTCGCGACAACGTGCAGAGTCCCTCCTCAAACAGGAGGACAAAGAGGGCTGCTTCGTAGTACGCAATTCCTCCACCAAGGGCATGTACACTCTCTCCTTATATACCAAAGTGTAAGTACCTAAGTAACTGTCACTCACTACTTTTGTAATATATATAAGGTTGCCACTTAACACCTTGCCACGGTGTCAAGATCATTTTAACTTTGAATTTCTCTACGTTCGTAACCGGTTGTTTAAAAAGTAAAAGAAACTTAATATAATTGTGCCATTTTAAAACTTCAAGAAGCACGTTTATTTTCACCAAACACCATTTTCACATAATAATTGTAGTTACAATTTATGGTCAATACTGTGGTTGTAGTCAACCTTTTATGCAATTATATTTCGAAACCTTTCTAGAATTTTCAAACGCCCTTACGGATCGGTTTCGACTTGAGTACCTATCTAATAATATTCAAACAATAATTCCAGCTATCACCCTCAAACGAAGCACTACCATATAAAGCAGAACAGTCGCGGTGAGTTCTATCTATCGGACAAGCACTGCTGCGCCAGTATTCCGGATCTTATAAACTACCACAAGCACAATAGCGGGGGCCTGTGTTCCCGGCTGAAGACCACGCCCTGCGACCGGCCTGCGCCGCCCACCGCCGGTCTCTCGCACGGTCAGTACGGTTAGTCACACATCATTGTCATCTAATAACTCCTAACAACAACATAAGAACTCATTCTATTTAGAAAGTAAGAGAATTGCTACCTATTTCGGAACGATTTGGTAAATTTGGTAAAAAAGGTGACATGTAATGAAGGTACTATAATGTGCAATTTTCTTACATTGTTCATAAACTCATCTAATTGCATGTCTCAATCTTAACGTTACGTGCTTTATGTGTTTGTTTGTTTAATATAATATGTTTTAGTAATTTGCACTCTTAGTTAGTAGTTAATTAGTGGTTTCAAACAATACCGTCGTGATATTAGTGTTTGATTAAATTATTATCTAAATTTTTGCTTTTTTAAGAAAGCTTTACATAGGGAGGAATGGAAGGAGGGTAGGGAGCCATTTACCCTGCAGTAGGACGATCATGGCTGAATAGAAAAAAAATATTTTTGCTAATAGCGTGTAATTATAATACGGAATTTACTTATTATAATGACAAAGTCGTTTGTCAATCCCATACTTTGTGGTTTATCATAATGTTAGTTATACGAGTTTAGAAAACTGAAGTATAAATAAACAAAGTTAAACTCAATAAGTAGGCATCTATCGTCCCAACTAAATGTTTCGTTATTTTTGGTTTCATAGTGTTCATTAACAAATGACTAATCAATTCATAATAATTTCACCAACGTAATAATATAATAAACCGGAAAATGATAAGTAAATGATAAGTACTTAGGGAATATTGGATCGACAATATTAAATTTCTGTTAAACCTGTAAATGGCCATTGAGGCTAAATTTAACTTGGGAATAAGCTTAATATGTCAGAAAATTATTTATGGGTAAACCCAGACATTGCATAAGTTATGATTATACGGCATTAAAGGTATTTAGACTTTTAAGTAGCTCTTAAAATCGTTAGATTCGGAGGAACCAGTATTCTAAATTTTGTTTACGAACGAAGAATAGTATTATTGTCGCGACATTTAATCTACAAAGCCTAGAACGTTCTGCCCCTCAACGTAATATGTATTACAAGGTTCAAATAAACAACAACAAACGTCAAAAGTGATGTCATTGGGAACCGTACTATGAAATTCATACCAAATAATTATAGTAATTGTGGTATATTAAAAGGTCGATTTACCTCGTTTTACATTAATAAGATTTATCTTAAACGGTTTAGCGTGTCATAATTAATTTCATTTGTTATGTCAAATTAAATGATTATGGTGGTTTGATTAGTTATAATAAAAGATTGCTGTGTAATAAAAAGTATTGATTATCCTATGCTGTTATCGTAATTAGTATGTTTCTTATATGTACAATATTTACGTATTTTGTAGTCAAGCAAAATTTTAGATTCTTAATATTCCTTTTATAATCTTTACAGATAAATGGGAGATTGATCCATCGGAATTAGTGTTACTAGAAGAGTTGGGGGCCGGTCAGTTCGGCGTGGTGAGGCGAGGCAAGTGGCGCGGTCGTATCGACACCGCCGTTAAAATGATGAAGGAGGGCACCATGTCTGAAGACGACTTCATCGACGAGGCAAAAGTCATGACGTAAGTATAACTATCTTATACCAGCGGCGCATCCCAACTTCATCTGGGTACATATTTCCAGTTCTTACGTAAACATCGAATTTTACTTTCATACGAACCTAAAATTAGCATAATGAATAAGAAAAAAAAAATCAAATTTGGTCAAGCAGTTCGGGAGTTATGCGCTTACATACATTTTCGGTAATATTTTTTGTGAGTATAGCTGTTATGTAGCATACTTCATTCTGTATGTAACTCAGAGCTCTTAATATCATCCAGTTTTATGTATTTTATTTACAATTTGATTACAGGAAACTCCAACATCAAAACTTAGTGCAGCTGTACGGGGTGTGTTCGAAACATCGCCCTATATACATAGTGACGGAGTACATGCGACACGGCTCTCTCTTCAACTACCTGCGACGAACTTCTCCCGACCAACTCGGACCGGCTGTACTGCTTGATATGTGCATACAAGTAAGACAAACTATTTATAATTTTATTATGTATGTAGGAAAGATATTCTTGTAATAACTGAGAGTTTTATACTATCATCAAAACTGCGGTTTTGATAATGATTAACTTTGGTTTTGAATTCGTTTAGTCTTTGTACCTTTAAAATCGAATATATGTAGGTATTGTATTTCTTTGATTAGAGTTAGACGTTGTTGTATAACTAAAGCACTTTAATTTCAGGTTTGCAAAGGAATGGCGTATTTAGAAAGGCACAATTATATTCATCGAGATTTAGCTGCAAGAAATTGTTTGGTTGGCGACGAGAATGTTGTAAAGGTATATTTTAAAGATGTTCTCATTTCATTCATACAATTTTGCCTCTAACTTTTGTAGCAGATATTTCTAAAGCTCTTTATGACTTTTGTACTTTCAGGTGGCCGATTTCGGTTTGGCACGATATGTATTAGACGACCAGTACACCAGTTCTGGCGGCACAAAGTTCCCCATCAAATGGGCACCCCCTGAAGTGCTCAACTACACTCGCTTTTCATCAAAATCAGATGTTTGGGCTTTCGGTAAGAATAAATTACAAATATTAAATTTTTTGATAAAAGCTAACCTGAGTGTTCAGAATATTCTTGAAAAGGAACATCAAATGATGTTTTTATTTTTTATTTCAGGTGTACTAATGTGGGAAGTATTTACTTGTGGCAAAGTACCATATGGACGCGTGAAGAACTCCGAGGTAGCAGATATGGTTCAACGTGGTATGCTCCTAGAGAAACCGAAGGGTTGTCTCAACGAAATATACAATGTAAGTATATCGTTCATACATACTCTGAGACGTAGTGAGCCTCGGTAGTGTTTATGAGTGGATGTAAGAGTACGTGGTGTGGTTCAGGTGATGCGGCTGTGCTGGCGACGGTTGCCGGAGGAGCGTCCGTCGTTCCGCGCGCTGAAGGAGGAGCTGGCCGTCATCGCCAACAGCGTGCTGGCCGACTGACTGCGCCTACTGCTGCACCTGCTGCGGCCCGCGCCCCCCGCGCCCGCGCCCGCGCCCCCTGCGCCCGCGCCGCACCAGCCGCTCGCTTTCGTCTCCCCGTGAGGCGCCGCTCCGTGCCCGGATCTTCGAGTAGCTTTCGCCGCGTTTGAAATGCGCGGGGCGCTGCGGAGCCTGGCCTCGTAGCCGCGGACGATAGCTGTCATGTATACGTTTGTACCAGACTGAATGTAACCGAGCTTGGATCGTGGCTAGGTTACCGCGAGCGCCCCGAATTTGAACTATACAAATTTTGATGATATAGATTTGAAAATCTGATTCAAAGTTAATTTGTGATTTAGGCTGCATTACTCGCGTATTTGGAAGTTTCCGTTCGAAAACTGCAGCAGATACGTATCGTATATCAACTAAAGCAATATGACAAAATTACACTATTATTTCTAGAAAGTGACGTCAACATTCCAACTTCACAGTTAGCACTCATAGTAGCACATCGATTTCCGACAATAATACAACTCTATTTCACGGAATTGATCTCACAAATGGAATTGACATACACAATTACTATTATACCCTTATACTATAATACCCTATCCACGCGAGTAATCGTAGGAGCCGTCCACTGCCACTTTTCAATAATATGCATATTTAAGTAGCTTCGCGTTATCTCTCTAAGGAAATATACAGGTAGCACAATTGACCTTATGCGTATCACCCGAGTAAAATTATAAACGTTTCTTTGATACGTACATTTAATACCACAATGTAAACAAGCAGAACACACGAAGGTTTATCATAATTACTCAGCTTTTATTTCTGTATCTTTAGCCGTTTAGCTATGATTTCGGCTAAAATTAGATAAACATCATTTTACATCCTCATATCATTATCCATGGTAGTTATAATGTAAATATAATACTGTAGCTATTTAATATACTAGTCGGTACGTACACAGCGACATTGTAACTTCGCACATGCCGTCGATGATTAGTTGACACATATTAACCTGGATTTCCTCGTATGTTCCTACTACACACACGGCGCGTTTTCAACACGATGTGTAACCTTATTTCTCAATAACACACTGTTTTTTTACACTTTAATCGTCACAAAATAATTCCAATTTATCAATTGATTATACTTTTTGTACATTCCTTTTTAAAGTACTAGTCATTAAGAGAATTAATAAGACCGTCTAAACATTTTGTGAAAAATAAAAACAAAAAATTTCAGAGGAGATATAAATAATTGAGTAAATGTAAACACAGCATAGCAATGAACAGTTACATAGGAATATGTAGATCTCTGCAGTGGTGGTCAACTAGAAAACATACATTTTAAAAATATGTATGCGTGATTGGTTAGAAGTATTGAATTGAATGTGTATTGAGAGTTTTGGCTGTGTTTTGTAAATTAAAATACATTAACATGGAAGAGTGTTTACAGAATACGTGTAGGTACTTTACTTTTAGGAACAATTGAATCATCTATTTTTCAAACCTATGTAAGGTGAAGGTTGTAATGAAGTTATGAAAAATATCTTCGAGAGGAACGCAGAAAGTAGGTTTACGGTAGTCGTGAGTCTATTAGGTTTGTTTTATTATCTTGCTAAAGCATAATATACGATGCCACAAGAAACGCTGGCAAAATAATTTTTGATGTTCCTAGTTAGTTGATCACTGCTGTAATTGCGACATGTTGTGTTACAATTCATTGTTTATTGAATATGGGGTATACTGAAATGGTGGTGACACTAAGAAAATGTGCCAATTATGTATAGACCCTTATTAATTTTAGGCATTTATGACTGAATAAAAATTCTCAATAAATAATAATTTTAGGACCTTTTTCCGGTTTATAATGCAAATAAAATGGGCGTGAAATTCGAGTACCAGTATTTATAAAACATTTTTACAAAATGGTATTTTAATTTCACTAAGTTATAATAAGTAAATGTATTTTTTGTGATAAATCTTATTTTTTTTAGTACGTAGGTATTCTATAATAGGAATTACGAATGAAGAAATGAAGACTACCTGTAGTTTTAAATTTTACAAAAACTGTACTAATGTAACATTCCAGAATTAGGTAACAGTACATTAACGGATTTATAGATATCTTAGCTGGCAGAACGTGTTAGGTGCGTTGTTCTAAAAAAAACGAATTTATCGTTAAATAGGATTTGTAATTCTCCATAAGGTTTTTAAAACGCACTTTAGCACGCCCTATTGGCTAAGATTACTGCCTGTAGAGATACATGTCGCTCGATACATAGGAATACTGCATTCAAATAAAATTCGCTACACATTTGTATGGCGAGTGTTTGTATAACTGTTTTGTAAAATTATTAAGTCAAGTAAAATAATTATAAAAAAACTGTTTTTCATTTCTATACCTTGATAGACATACTAATCTGATTACTTGCGATAAGATTTTACTGACAGTTTTGAGATGGCTTGATATCGATGTTTATTTGTACCTACTGAATTATTGCGCATCACTGGCATTGATTGTAGATAGTGGTCCGTATACCCACGTTTGATTATACATGGTGTTAAATATATAAATAGCAATCTACAGAAAATACTATTCATAATTGGACTTCACGGTTGGCGCGGTTGCTGGGCAACTAGCTGCTGCACAACGTGTCGCGGGTTCGATTCCCACGTGGAACAATGTGTATGTGAACATGTGTTTGTAAACGCACCCACGACACATAAGAAAATACAAGTGCGGGGCAAAAAAAAATGTTTGATGGTAAAATACTAAAGTAAAAAAACTAAATGATGATTATTATCCATTTATTAATATTTATAATATAATATTATATAGATACGTCAAATAAAACTTAAGAATAAGTACACGGGTACACGCAACGAAACTACTAATTTTTATTTTATGGCATTCAGCAGGTACTGGAAGTGTTCGTAATTACTACATTACTACAGAAAATATGAACAACAAACAATAATAATTAGGAATAAATTCTAGTTACATAAATAAGTACGAGCGCGACATACATAGAAAATAAAGAAGGAAATACATAACATTGTATTTTGCAAATAAAATAAGTACCTATGCATATCACGTGGGTGACACTGTATGGTATGAAATATAAAGAGAGCATACATTCACGTAATATTTGTTCGGGATAACAGACAAGCAAGATGTTTAACATAAATATTTTTTTCAGTACTTATGTACTAAATAATACAACTATGTTGTTGTGAATACAAAATAAATAATTCTGAAATACACATGACATATTATGACATAAGCATTATTGTACATAAGAAGACACATACCTACGACATAAGTTATATGTTTCCTAACATAGATACATATTTTTACGTTAAATAATAAGAAGTTAAGAACCTAATAAATTCTTATTGTTATCAAGTCACCCTGTAACATTTTCAGGATTATGATTCAACTACATTTTGTTACAACAGTTTCAGCATTTTTGACACAAATATTCAATAAATGTTAACTAAACATGGTCTGATTTAAGGATAATAGATTATTTTAACAACATAACAAGTTTTTAACTTTGAAAATTAACTTACGAATATATCAATAACAAATTTAATTAATTGGAATGCATAAACTTAAAGCATTGTTTTTAATTCATAATGTTAAACTATTCGAAATTAAATACTATTAAAACAAATTTCATTTGCAATGATTAATTGACTTTTTGGTGATCTAACTTCATTGTTTATACTAAAATAACTTTTCTTTTGAAGAAAACAAGGTTGAATATAATTTCGTTAGTTTGTACCTACTAAGAGAGACTAGTTAGACATGTTAAACATAATTCATATGGCAAGGATTTGAGGCGAGGGGTCTAATAAAAGTGACTAGCAGGTAAGTCCAAAAGAGTCCTTACCTATTACTTTACATTGTGTAAAACAAATAGTTAACTACTATAACTACGTATATAGGAATACGGAATAGTCTGTGTATAGAAGAACAAGTAAAGTTTAAAGGATTTTGTTGAAGGAAAAACAAAAATAAAAAGCAATCATAACTAAGATTTTGGATAAAGATCTAAAATAGACAGCTATGTAATGTAATGTATGTAAGAGTTTACTGTAAGGTGAACACAGATGTAAACCTAAGGGAGTTTTGAACTTTGTTGAATACTGAGTGGTTATTTATATTCTTTGGTGGGCGACTATTTACAGACATTCAGTTAAATATATTTAAATACAATTAAACTATTAATTTACCAAGTTATACTAAGTAGGTACTATTACAACGGAAGTTAATACATTTAGTAATTTATTATTTGGCTATATTTCCCATATGGTCAGTAGATAAAATGAGGATAAATATAATTTTTGGTGAATTTGCCTAAGGTCATTTTAAAATATATACATTTATAAAATACATGTATGATTAAGTCTAGACATTCATACCATTGAACATTGCATTAGTCGGTTTTATGTTTGTTATTTACATGTCGTCAGGAAGTATATCAGGTATCAGATATTGGCACAGATCCATCTCTGAGTTCACAAATACAACCTTACTGGCAGTATTTACATCCAGCCTAGAAAACAAAAAGTATAATAAAAAGAACAGTTTAAATAATTTCTTAAACCAATTATTATTTGAGTGGCTTGATTTTAAAAAGTTGTTGGTTTATTTCTATTGTTGTGAAATAAAAGTTTTCTCACCATTGTTTTATAACAGTCCAACATCCAGAGAAGAATGCTGGTGCATTTGTGACCAGGCATACACCTAGTCTCTCCGGGTAGTGCCGACTGAGCAACCAGATCAAGTTCTTCAACACTTGGTAGTCCATGCAGGACAGTGTGAAACCATTCAAGTCAAACACTATACACAAATTATCTATGACTTCTTCAAAACATTTTTTACTGGCGTCTTCCTGTAAAAGAATGAAACAATTATTTTAATATTAATACTAATATAAAATAATGTTACTTATTTATGGTAAATAGGCATGAAAATAGCGCTGTTACAAATTAATATACAATATTGTTTAAATAATTTTTATTCTACAAATATCAGTATCAAATTATTATATTTTCACTGCACTTTTAAGCTGTGTTATCATCTGTCGAAACTTTATTTTATGATTACATGTTGCCTTACACTAAAATTTTCTTCTGTGTCATGCATGTGTTTACAACTTGTTTAAAATATACAACATAAAGGGTATGTTGTATATTTTATCAACAGTTCAAAATATATCCAGTTATATAAATAATATAAAAATATATGGAAAATTTAAAGTTTATAAGTTATATTGTAATATTTAATCCATATTACCAAGCAGTAGACAATGAATTTAGTCAATTCATCAATGTTCCTGTCGCTGGAACTATGGTTCTTTGCTGGAATGTATACTATCGGTCTGCCAATGATATCCCTGTGTCGAAGTACCCTTGCTTTGTTGGAATATTTCTCTATAATCTCTTTATTCTCACTTAACTCGCTCACACCATACTCTACTCTCCATTTGTTTGTTTTCAATATAGCCTGAAATTATCAACAATAATGAAGAATTGGAGAGGATTCAAGTGTCTATCATTAGGGGCGGATACTTTACCTGGGTATCATGTTAGAATGACAAAATATGTACTACAAACAAAATGTGAACTAGACAAACTGATAGGAATTAGCTTTAGAAGTTTTGAACAACAAACCCTGAGTCTTTACCTGGAATGCATTGTTGACTGTTTTAAATGCTCTCAAGTATCTCCGCAATGAATAATCATTGTGATATTGCGAGGGATCAGCACTAACAATCAGCTTCATCCTTTCTTTTAATTGGTTTAAATCCTCTTCGTTCACAACAGCTCTTGTTTCGTCAGCCATGGTTTATAGTATCGAAAAGATTTGAATATGTAGCTTTTCCCTCTAAAATAAGAATGATTACGATAATTAGGTTTACAACCGGCTTAGCAGTTAGCTCAAAATTCAGGAATTTTAGAACGAATATTCTTCCAGTTCATTGGATTTTTTGACGTTCCAAAACTGACAAATATCTGTTTCACAATTTATAGCATGAAGTTCGATTTGTCGAAGGCCTTAACGTAGGGCAAAAAAGAGACAGCTGATAGCTTCAATGCTTAAACGGAAATTCACGGAAAATAAGGAACGCGCGCGTTATGCTGTCAAATCAACGTGATGTCATGATATGCTGTTGTAAGGCTGCTAGGGATGGGAAATAAAAGGGGTCTAGGTATTACTATTACGGGGTCCAGAGCGATGTTATTCAAATCACGGAGTAAACTAGTATAGGTAGATAGTATTCTAATACTGATATTACAACTGTCAAACACCGCGAGGACACCGATGACTGCAACCTATTGTTCTTTCATTGTGTCTATAATGACGGTAGGTACTCAAATGGCTAAATAATAATAATAAAGTTTATTTCAATTACAATAGGCATTTAATACAAATTATGTGAGATCGCCTCTAAACCAAGGAATTGCTAATACTGAGTGACATCATTATAGAGGGACTCCGATAGGTCAATAATATTACCTAAGCTGATTACAATGTTGTGACCATCAAGTTATTTTGATAAGGGCTTATGGCACCGACTTACGACCACAGATGGGGCCCAACAGGGCCGATGCTGATTCAGAGTCGCGGAGAACCTAATGGGCAACCGGGGCTCCGACTCGACGTGCAGGAGAAGGAACGGGGTGGTTTTTAGTCAGTAGGAGTCCGACACTCCCTCCCGCCTCACCCAGGCGGGAGCAGTCATTAGATGATTTTCCCCCTTTAAAAAAAATGGCACCGACTTCTAACCTATCAGTGGGTGGGTAACCTATCAGTACTAATAATAGTTATTTATTGCTTTTTAGTCCTTACTTTATGTTTGTTAAATTACTTAATAACAACCTAGTTATTGGTTTTTTGAAGCCGGTTTTTTAAGCGCATTTATTATTTTATCATTTTTAGTGTAAACCTACATAAACCCGTTTTGCCACTTATAATCCACATAGGCGCAAAGTCCTAATCAATTTAAATTATACACGCCCAAACACAAGGTAGTAACCGTCAAAGAGTTCCCTTAACAATTACACTTCTTCGTCATCAGATCCGTAATGACAATCTCACTCCATCCAGGTGTAAAGTTCTCATGAATACAAATTACCCAAGCCATAACTCAAGGTAGTTAATCTGGTATACAGGCTCCATCATCAGAGTGCTTACTCTTGAATCCAATTCCGATCGATCGACATTGACATTGTGAAATTTGGTACTCTTGAGTTGTAACACTAGCGCCTTTTGCATCCGTATTGCGTGGATATTTCATGAACTAAATGGTATTGAGTTTGGCTTTATATTCCGTACTCTAAATGCTACTTTAGCAGCTACGATAGGGGTTGTATAGTTTTAACATTGGATACTTATTGAGATTTTATTGGATTGAAATTGCATTGACATTGAGATTGGTTTCAAGAGTAAGCACCCAGGTCGACTCTCAAATTGTAATGTTACGGCGGAGTAATGGGTGAACAAACAAAAAAAAAACCAAACATAGTACTTCCTCCTTTTTTTGAAGTCGGTTAAAACCAATCGTATCTTCCAGAATCGAGTGAATAGTTTGAAAAAAAAAATATCTTCGTAGAGATCCGAAATTTTATTAGGTACCTAAATTAGAATGAATGCATGATTATACTAAATGCATTTTTTTTTCAAGTAAGAACAACAATACAGGATATCTTGGTCTAAACTTTAAGTACACAAGATAAATAACAATATCGCTAATATATGTATGTTTAACTAAGAAGGTCAATAACAGTAAAGGGGGGAAGGTGCGGAACAGTCCTTCTAAAGTCATCAACAGTGCAACAGAAGCTGTATCCGATGTCGATATTGTCAGGCTTCCAGTTGAGCCAGCTGAACGCGCTGTTGTTGCGACAGCGGTCCGTGCAGAAGGTCAGAGCACGGACCTCGGACTCCGTGTAGTAAGGGTTGTTAATGCTCACGAATGCTGTGCCGAGACCACGAGAGGCATCGTAGACAACCTGAAGTAGTAAGTAAAGGTTTACAATGAGTAATTATTTTTCAAATAGACAATTTGTTAGTTTTCATGTTCAAGTAGAAGCTATTCTAATCTAATTTCATCATCATCATACACAATTCTTCGAAATTTTTCAGGGTAGGTTACTTAGGCACCTAATTCAAAGCCTATGTTCAACAGTAGAAAGAGATCCTCTTGCGGTTGATATGATTGCTGTTGGTTACCTTATAATAGTAGAGAGGCACAGGAATCTGAGGGTTGTTATTGGCGTCAGTATACAGGTAGATATCGACGAGGCGGTCATACTCATCACGGAGTTGAGTCACGCCGAATGTTCCAGTGTAAACCACCGTGTTATAACCAGCTTTACCGATGCGTTCACGCAATTTCTGTAAAGGGCATAAAGCATTTATGAAAACTTTAAGAGAATCAGCATGTCAAGTTACTCCAATGGATTGAATTTTTTTAAAGTTGTCAACTGGTTAGGCAGACAGTTTTGTGAAGCTTACCTTTAATATTTTCACACAATATTATTATGATTTTAAGAAACTTACTTGTTCCAATGAGTTCCAGTTACCAGCATTAAAAGGTTGCCATTGTGGAGCAGCGTTAATGAAGTAGAAGCTGGCTCTTTGACCGCTGGCGTAAATAAAATCAGTTTTAGCAGCAAGATGACCACGAGATAAGTATTGTCGGGTTGTCAAGTATTTGTTAGCCAGTTCGTTTCCAACGACGTCGGCAATCGTACGTTTTTGTTGCTCTTGTTTATACAAGTCATTTACAGGTACTCCAGGGTAGAAGGTCCCAGCTAGGAAAAACAAGTAATAAGAGTTAGTTTGTTTGCTCTTTCAAAATTTTCTAATAGTTAGACAAAATTTTATTCACTGAGTCTTCGAGTGAAAAAAATTACGGTCACTATCAATCAGGGTACACAAATATCTTGTCACTAACCTGCAAAATTCGGTCGGTTGACACCAGTTTGGTATACCGCATTAGGAGGGTTTTGTTCGTACCAGACGTAGAGAACTTCGAGGCGACGTTCATCGAAGCAAGACCAGTATAGGGGATAGAATATTCCTTCTACTGTGAAACCAACCCTAAAAGATGGTACAAGGTCACATTAACATTTTCACATGATCGGAATTGGTTTTAACTGAAAAAGTCTTAATCGGAGCCGGAACATGATATTTTTTTTTATTTTAATCTATTCATGGGATGGAAAACTATAGATATACAACTGCGACCTGCTAGTAAACAAAGGATTACAATTCGACGCTACTAATAAGCGATCGATATTAATTACCTATTTGAACATCAATTTAATGTTGAAATCCGAAAAAATATATTGTTCAGTGAACTTGTATACAGACCTAATAACAAGATTGTTGTTATAACAAGTCTCATTAGTGGCTAAAGCCTCGTGAGTTGGATTTGATGAGCAAGTTAGTCCACTAAATGCTCCGATACCATTCAGCCAACCGGCTCCAGCCACTAGATCATTGTTTACACACACAGCTGTCTGAAATAAGCAATTAGCCAATAGAACTCATCGAATCGTGGAGTAATTGATTGGTCAATTTCATTTCATTTTCATTTGATTCCCGTCAGCAGTTTGTCTAGTTATCTAAATAAAAAATCAGCAATTTATCAAAAACCAAAATGAATTTGCGTTTTGTTAACATTGGTTACTTTTTCTCGTTTTGTGGATTATAAATAATTGAATGGAAGTTGATTAATTAAGATACACCTAAACGGGCCCACACATACAGAAAAATATGCCCATTTAGAAACACCCATAAGAACAACTCTCGATGGTTCTCTTTGACCAAGGGTCGGTGATTAATCAACTTGTGTAATGAAAAAATAATACTGAGTTTATGGGTTTGTAGACAGAAGTAGAACACCAAAGAGTGTACTTACGGCTGTGGCTACTGATGCAGCTATATTTGGATGTACGATAGAGCGTTTAGATCCTGGACATGCAATGGTAACCTGTTCTCCAGAATAAAGGTTTATCTTCCCGGTAGCTCCAGTAGGAGTCAGATAAGTGTTGTTGTTTAGATATACAGGTTGCGGATGTCCGAGGTCTTTATTCACATCCAACGTGCAACCTGTAGACATTTACAGTTTTCAATAAAACGTTAGTAGAGCATCAATCAGAAAAATCAAGGTAATGAAGTGAAACTGTTCCTACTAATTTGGAATAACTATTTCATTTTCTATTAAGGGGGGAGCAGTAGAAGAAACTAAAACATCTAAATATCTCAGTACCGACCTAAACTAAGCATTTCAGGTTATCAACCGTAATAAAATGCAAAAAAATAATAAAATTAAACAATAAAATAAACAATTTCTTACCGCTTTGAGACCTTAAAAAAATAGTTGAGAGTCGATTAGCTTCTGTCTTGAGTTCGAGCCAGGAATCCAGGTAATCTTCGAAGTCATTTTCACTCAGGACGAATGCAAGATCACTAGGGTCCGGAATCTCTTTGGACAGAGCCGTTACTGCAACTAATATTACAACTAGTGCAACTAATAATCGCGCCATTTTTAGCCGACATTCGCGTCGTAAAGCAAATATATATGGGCTTGTCGAAAAGATATTATTTTTTTGTTTAATATCAACCGTTCATTTGTAGAAGATAACTTGTTATATCAGACACATCACCACAAATTCAGGAAAACACGTCATTATGATTTCGTAAAAACAGTCGTAAAAAGGATTTGAATCAAATATTTTTCAGTACGTAGCGTAAGTCACAGGTAATCGAATTTATTGAGGAAACATGAGAAACTGTTACTGATTAACTTGAAACACGGGATTCGTTAAGAAAATTAAATTAAGTTATAATTGCTTTCGTTTCGGATATTTATTAATACATATATACAGTTGCATGTGCGAAACTGCATAGAGCATTTCAAGAGATTTCACTATATGAAACAAATATTTCAGAATCCGTGTCGTCAGCCGAGGCGTGGCTCGGTATCTATCAGATGATTGTTTGAAAAGATAAATGCAATACATAGGTACATACTGTTCTACATACTATATATAGTTATTGATAGAATCATTCATTGTTATCCACTTCTGGTGGTTCACGTTTTCTTGCAAAAAATCTTTTACCGTTGAAATATTTCATGCATATTTACTTAATTAAGTAGGTAAGTACACCTTTCGTTGGCATTAATCAAAACAATTGATTGTATCGATTGGGTTTTTCTAACACACAATCAGCGTGATTAAATATTTCGATTTTATCATCGATATTTATCTTCATAGTTACAAAAGATAACACTCACTATTGTGTATAAGTATGGATACGTATGTGAACATTAAATATTTCCTGAAAAAAATCGGTTAAAATTAACGGATCTCTTATGAGATTACACTTAATGATAAGTAAGTGTAATCCAAACTTGATATAGATATGCTTAGATAGTTAGAAGTAAAAATCATTTTCAAATATACCTATTTGGTTTTCTGTATTGCGATTTATAATAAATGCGATTTAATTTCAAATATACCTATTTGGTTTTCTGTATTGCGATTTATAATAAATGCGATTTATATACAATAGATAGTATAAAGAAGAACTAAAATGACTTTGTATGACAAGGGCACGGAATCACGGACAAGAGTCCGTAGAGATTTAACTACTAAGTAAACCTAAGTACTTAATACATATAAAAAATATACAAAAGATATCCAAATATCAATCTACATTAAAATATTATGGAAATTCTATTCTTTCCTTATTGATATCTCGGAACTCCTTTATTCCTTAGAGAGAATGTAAAGCCGATCCGAGATCCCGTAACAAAGTCGGATTAACCCAGTAGCGAGAGTAGCAATAGCTACGGGTCTAGCGCCAAAGAAGGTCCGTACTACCAAACTAACGTTTTGTTTTAAAGTGTGTTTCTTTTAGTCACTTATTTTTTATAAGTTCGAGCGAGGGGCGTTCATTCGGGTCTCATATACCTAAGCTGAATTTACAACTGGGTTATCACATCATCTGCAATCTCAAGTAATATTATACACTAGCTACTTCTGCGCGGTTTCACACGCTCTGATCAGCTCCTATTGGTCGTAGCGTGATGTTTTATAGCCTATAGCCTTCCTCGATAAATGCGCTATCCAATACAAAAAGAATTATTCAAATCAGACTACAGTTACGGAGAATAGCGCGTTCAAACAAACAAACAAACAAACAAACTCTTCCGCTTTATATAATAAAGTGTAAGAGTATAAGATGCGAAAGTAAGTTTGTTCTTTCGTCTGTCACCTCTTTAAACTTTATTTACCTACTTGATAAACTTCTTTTAATGCATAGGTAATTATCACATAGCATGAGTATAGAGACGGACATACCTTTACACTGCGAGTAAAAGCTACGGCAAGCTACAGACAAAAATACATTAAATCTGTTCAAGTCTGATGCGGAAATAGCCTAAAAGAAAGTAAGTTTAATAACATTTACTGAACTGTTTACTTAAGATATAAAGATAACAATATCTCGGAGACTTGGGAAAGTATCTCACCTGTCACGTACACGAAATTGATCTCAAGCAACTTCTGTCGCAGAGTTTTGAAGATAAATAATTACCTTCCCAAGTTAAATGAGAGCCTTCGTCTTAGTAAATGGTGCAATCAATGAAGTTTCTGATTGTATCCAGGTGAAGATAATGGTCCTGAAGATTGTTTGACGTTTATTTACGTTTAATTCGTTGATGCAGGTAACTTTAATAGGTTCATTGAGCTCCGATTTTGCATGTGCAAGGAACTTATTACAGTATACATATATTTTGATGATATCTTAAGGTAATCTTATGAGATCTTAAGATAATGTACTTTTCTTTTTCTTAAAAAGGACAAGTATTGTTTTATTTACCTCAATCGATAAATTACATAATCTATAGTAATTCAATTCGTTCGTAATAGGTATTGATAAGGTAATTTGATCAATGGCTGTGTACCATAACTACCAATTAGATGTTGATAATTTTTATCAACTAATTACGGGCAACATGCGCATTGTCGATCTTAGATTATGTCATAGATACAACATTTTTGGGTATTACCTACTTATGTAATTACCAACATTTGTTTCTTTTTATTCCTGTTTATAGTTCAATTTTTGACAGTTCCCACCCATAGTACCTAACATAAAGCGACGCTAGCGCCATCTGAAGAGCGCAAGAACGTAATAATAACTAAAATTATTTGGTATCGATTTTTCATGTACCACGTCCACCATTATACTACTAGTATAGAAATAGATTCGAAAGATAATCTAAAAATATTTTTGTTTAACTTTTATCGTACTTTCGCAATTTAGATGTCACCATTGTAGATAAGGGAACCCCCCTCTACCTGGCCACTATAATCTGTAGTCGATTGTAAAAGTTTGAAATTAATCGGATAAGCGGTGATTGTGTGAATCCTCTACAAACAAACAAGCGGAACTTTTCTTTGTATAATACCTAGAACTAGCGGGTTACTGGAAGCTTTGCGCGTTTTAAAGGTTCATGATAAAAATGGTAAAATTAAAATGTTCATAATTACATAACATAACATAACATCACGCCCTTTATCCCCGAAGGTGTACGCAGAGGTGCACACAGAAGTAACACCCACTTTTCACTATTTATGTTATGAGTCCCATGTAATAGGGGGTGAGCCCATTGCCATATATCGGGCACATTTTCAGACTCCGTGCTACTACTGAGAATATTTAAAGACCCAGTAATACTTTGCCCGACCCGGGAATCGAACCCGAGACCCCTTGCCCGGCAGCCGCACTTACGACCACTCGGCCAACGAGGCAGACCATTTTCATAATTACAGAGAATAAAATGGCATAGCATTTCTAATATGACCAGTTTTGTCTGCCGCTGTTTGTATTTGCGACTCTGTTACCACATACTATAAAGCGTATTCACAATTTGTAAATACGTCTAAACATAAAAACATAAAATTTGCTATCCTACTACCAAAAGATATCCTACATTTGATATTCCCGTATTCGGTTTTACGAATTTTCGGATAGGCATAGTTAGCTCTACGAATTTTCAACCATCATCACAGTCATCTACTTTTCGAATTTTCCGATAGTCAACAAGCCTGTATTTCGAAATAAGTAATGCTCTAAGATAAACATAATTAGTATAGTAAAACATTTCAAACCAGATGTAAATGATCTTACAAATAATATAACTTATTCAGTACACAATAGGAGATCTCTAGTAGACATAACAAAGCAAAATTATTACAATAGGAACATACATACGAGTACACTGGTAGGTTGAACAATATAAATAGGACTTATAATGTTGTGTTGTACGCATTTGTTATAGGTAGATGATTCCTTTACCGACGTAAATAATTCCTGATGACGTCATTATTTACAATAAGTTAATAGGATCTAGAGAATACGTGTCTCTTGTACCCATGGTCATTAAAATACTGTGTATTTTTTAATGTTAACGAACCCGTGGGCTATGGCTAGCAGATCTTAAGTCTAAGTAAAAAGAACTAGAAATTCAAGTACATATTTTTTTCTAGACATTTTGCGGAGAAAGTAGATAGCTAGGTAAGACATTTTTTGCGACTATTCAGTAAATTTTATATGACAGGCGTCGTCGGTCGCAAATAGGTAAACGTCACAAGGTCGTCAGTATTTATATTTTTTATTTTTTGTACAATTTTTGAACAGAAATTTAATGGACGCAGCCATTGTTGAGGATGGAAAGTGAATAGAAGCTACACATCGTGTGATAACAAAAGAGCCTGACTGCTATTTTGTTGAATGGGGCATGACGCAAGTTCTGCCAGTCACCTGTATGGTAGATTTTTTTTTATTTTTCAATGCGGAAAATCATCTAATGACTTCTCACGCATGGGTAAGGCGGGAGGAGTGTCAGACTCTTACTGACTAAAAACCAAACGTTTCTCCTCTTGCACTTCGATTCGGAGCCCCGGTAACCCGTTAAGTCCTTCACGGCTCCGTATCTGCATCAGCCCTCTTGGGCCCCATCCGTGGTGGTCTGATGGCTCTTTGAAGCGCGCGGACCGCTACGTGTCTGTTTCTGGTTGGGCAGCGAGCTATTCATGCTCGCCGCACAGCGTCGGAGATCGTACAGCGATATCCGACGCCGGGAGTGTTTTCGCGACGGCTGGGTTGTGAGGAGCCAGCCCTTTGCTGCCTCACGCGCTCTGCCTCCTTCTTACCCTGTATGGTATGTAAAAGATAGTACTTTGGTTACACTTTATTAAAGGTACTTACATAAATTACAGTTTAATTTTTTCATTACTAAAATAAATAATACCTATATATAATAATAATAACAGTTTAAACTTCGCTTTGAAATGTCTGATTATTAAGTCCTACACGTTTTCGCAAAAATAATCTGTCATTAAGATACGCTCTTGTGTCGTTACTGCGTTTATACAGACATCATAACTATTAAGGTCATTGCACACTTATCAAGTACGGTACCGGCATGGCTCTAACCCAGCAATATTATTGTCATTTAAAATGTAAATCGTATGAGTCATACGATATTGGCGTTATGTAATATGTCATACGGTATGACATATTACATAACGCCAATATAGAAAAGCTGTAAGCGCAACGCCCGCGCGCCGACAACGGCGCGCTCTTAACCGGAGCCGTGCTTAAGCCTTGTTAGGTGTGCGATGACCTAAAGGATTAAAGAGATAAAAGATATGTTTACTACACTAACATTGCACACAACCCTATTCAATGGTCTTTGGTAGTTTGGTCAGTGAGATCCTGAGTTAATCCTATAAAATTACCCTGATACAAGTTTATTACCCTACAGCTTCGTGATCCCATAAAGATTACCCATAACTTTGTTGCATGGCTTATAATGTTCTTATCTTACATAATGGAGCATTAAAACAAGTTTTGAATG